TGTCTAGAATTTGGCTGGAGCTGGACCTAGAAATGTTGGAGGAGGAGTGTTGGCAGTAAGAGAGGAGAGTAGTCATTGAGCTGGATTGTCTTCGGAGTGGGTTTAAGTTGAACACTGGGATGGGCTGCTGGGATGGATTTGAGTCCCAGACTGGCAAAGTGTGATGGCCTAAGGAGAAGACAGAAGTGAAGTTTATGGTTTCAGTTTTACAGGTTGAAGGCCAAAGGCTGTGGCTGAGCAAGGAGAGGGCAAACTAGGTCTGTGCTGGCTTCATTTCACTGGGTCTATGTACAGCCCTGCCCCAGTCAGTTGGGGTTGGTATGCAAGGTAGGTTTTGATATCTGACATTAGAAAATTCCTGGGTAGGGCTGTGTCCTGGGTTCAGCAGTAGCGGTCGTTTTTCTCCTTCTTAGTAGCTGTTGCACTGCTGTATGTTTGACTTTCAGCCTGGGAACAGAGCTGATAACACCGATGTTTTTAGTTGCTGCTCAGTAATGTTTACTCTGACCAAGGACTTTGTGAGTCTCATGCTCTGCCAGGGAGGAGGGGAAGCCGGGACGAAGCAGAGACAGGACACCTGACCCAAACTGACCAAAGAGGTATTCCATAGCACAGCACGTCATGCCCAGGATGTTGAACTGGGGCAGTGACCTGGAAGGGCGAGATCACTGCTCGGTTGGGCTGGGTGTCAGTTGGCAGATGGTGAGTGGCTGTATTCTCTTCCCTTGTTATTTCCCTTATCATTATTATCATTGGTGGTAGCAGCAGTGGTTTGTGTTATACCTTAGTTACTGGACTGTTCTTATCTCAACCCATGGGAGTTGCATTCTTTTGATTCTCCTCCCCATCACTCTGGGAGCAGGGGGAGGAAGGGGGAAGGGAGTGAGAGAGTGACTACGTGGTTCTGAGTTACTGACTGGACTTAAACCACAACAGGCTGGAACGCTTTACTGGTAAAATACAGACTGCAGAGGGCTCTAATATGAATGTTCACTGCCCCACAACGGCCATTTTATTTGATGGTGGGAGGGATACAGGCCCTGGGTCAGGCATAGGGATGGTGCAGTAGTTGCTGCATGGATTGTGTGACTAGGCAAGGATTTTTGGTCCAATGCACAAATCTCCCACTCTCTTGCCAGGCTTCTGGATGTGCTTCAGCTCTTGGGTCTGGCCTTGAGCAAGAAAGCAAGGGGTAATTGAGGGAAATCAGTATTTTGCATGTGTCATAAAATTTGAGCTCCTTATTCCTTATATCCGCTATTCTAGGGAATATTTGGCAATTGCACTGCAAGGAACATGCAGATCCACAGTCTGTGAATCTGCTTCCTCTGACATGCAATAGATGGGTCACAATTAGAGCTAGGTCAGGACTACAATCTGACAAATTTATCAGATTGCTGGCTGCCATATCTTGCTCACATTCCCAGGGCTAAACTAATTGCCAGATTTAGGGTTTATCTGAGTATTAAGTTTTTCCTTCATGTCAGATTGGCAGAGGATGAGCAGCTTTTGCTCTCCTGCAGGGCATGGTGCAGGGTCCATCTGTTAGAAATTCTCCAGGGATGTTTCAGCTAATGGCAGAACTGTGCGTCTCTTCTGTTCTCTTTAAAGTGACGCCACGGTGTAATTTTTGAAGCTTTTTGCCTTTTGTACTAATAGTCTTGTAATTGTTACATGGTGTCAGAAACTGCTTTATGGTACCAGATTTAGATAAGGGAGTGGATACTCTGAGGATCCATCTGAGCCTAATATTGATGCCATTACAGTGGGATCGCAGGGAGTTGAATTCAGTCACACAGAAGCTCCTTTCCAGTCCCACGTTCTGCCTCACCCCCTGCACGTTCAGAGGGATCATGTGTCCCCCTTTCTGTCTCCTGTTCCTGTTTAGCTGCTGCTCTTCAATTTTCTCTTCTTTAGATATATGCTTCTCTCTCTGTCTATGAGACTACCTAACAGCCTAAACAGAACGTTTCCAAAATAATTGTGTAAGATTAACGATACCATCCTATACTATTTTGATAATTCTCACCCCTATCTTTCAATTCCTGAATTAGCTTTGGAGCCAATGTTTTCACAGAGTGCTGGAAATGAATGTTTCATATAGCTTGGAAGCTGTGATTCTATGTTTTCATATGAAACATGGCATTGTTTCAAACATAAATAACTCAAAGGCAGCAGCTAAACTGGGTCAGAACCAGTGAATCAATGTAAGTGGAGAGGATGTTAGTGAAAGTAATGTGATCTTTATCTTCAAAATCCCATAACCACTAAGCCTAGAGAACAAACTGCTGTATGTCTTTGGACTGGATGATTAGCCTTCTAGTGACAAGCAGCTTTGGTTTCTGTTCTTGGTAATAATGAATCATCAATAGTCGATGGCTTTTTAAATCAGGCAAACACACAGGTCTTTTTCTGGACAGGACAGGATGTTTTCTGCATCTCAAGTGTCTTGAACCACTTACTGGATATCATCCAGCCCTGGTGAAATAAGGACTAGCCAGCAGGAGTAAACAGAAGTTTAAATAAATAGGTTTTGTTCTCCTAGTGTGGGAGAGTAAGAAATGCAGACATAGACATATAAAAGGAATTGTCTGCATGAGGCCTTCTTTTCAAAGGCTTGCATGGGGAGTGTAAAGCTGCTCTTAAACATGCACTTCTCAGGCAATGGCACAAATGGCACACTGTGCAAACTGTCTTCAGCTTTAAAAGAGGCTGCTTGGGTAGAAAGGAGGTTCTGTTGCCTGGTTTTCTAATTCTCTAGGCATTGTTTTTGGAAATATCCTGTACAAAAGATATTCTGTACAAAGCTCTGGGGAAGAAAGTAAATTCTTTTCCATTTTTGAGTGCCTGGGATCTGTGAACACTAGAAACAGGCCGAAGCCTTGATGCTATTCTTGACATTTCAAAGTCAGCTAAGCTAAAAGTCAAATACTACTTAACCACAGAAAAGGAAAAGATTATGGCTAGTATTCCAGTTTAGACACAAGACCTGATAGCTCGCTCGTTCCCTTGCCCCAGCCCAAAGCCTATATACATTCCATGGGGGAAGATTAAGTGCAATTTAAAAACTAGAAAGCAGTGCCTGTATGGTTAGCAAACACGTGGTGAAGAAGAAAAATTTGTTTCAAGAAACGATGAGTAAGAAATGCCCCTATTTTCTCCCCAGCCACCCTTCCTTGTTTCTTCAGTACCCTTCTTTCTCTCTCTTTTGGTGCCTCTTTTAATGGTTTCTTTGTCTGTCATTTTCTCTCTTTTCTCCAAAGCTTTACTGAACTGACTCAGATTCTTTTCTTTCCTTACTCAAGAGTCTTTTTCTGGTTTCTCATGTGCCCCCCACACCCCCTCAGTTTACACCTTGTCTTAGTCTTTTCCTCTTTTTATTTCCCAATGTACTTATTGAAGCTGCTGCCAATTTAAAGCTACTGGCAGAGGGCAGGACCTGGCTTCGCTCCACAGATGAGCTCTTCATGGAATGAAAAATTTGGGAAGTCATTAGGCTTCATAATCTGCACTATGTCTTTGGAGACAGTGTTGAGGTTCATTAGTGTATAATGCAATAAGCACAAACACAGTGATAATGTGTCACTGGAACAAAAGAGAAGAGCAGATTCTGATCTCAGAGCATTGACTGATGGAAGTCTTAAGTAACTTTGTTGATACTCATTTAATCATACTGTCTACATCACTGCTTGCAAGGATACCCACTGCCTCTTCTCTTAAGCAATGACCCCTGCAAATACTGGATCTGATTCACAGCTATTTTCGCTGAAGTTTTACACCAGCAGAACTTCACTGATTTCAGTGCAGACAGGCCAAGTTTAGTGATATAAATGAATCCAAGAGTAGCAAACCTAGCCTATATATTTCCTCTGACTGCTTTCCAAAAATCTTCATTTATATTTTGAGAATCTCTGCATTTCTGTTCAATTATTCGTGTTTGACAGAATCTGCTCCAGCACTATTGTGCTTTAAAAACTGGAACCTCCTCCAAAGTATAGTGCAAAAAAGATAAAACCTGTTATTGTCCTTGAAGGGTAAGCTGCAAGGCTGCTGGTTCTGTCCTTTCAAGTAGGCTGATAGGTTTGTGTCCTATTGTGTCAGTTCATGGTTCCTGAATGTATTCTAAAACATCTCAATTACTTTCTATTTTACAGACATTTTTATTAGATTTATAATCTCATGCCTCATATCCTCAGAGTGTCTTCAGCACTCTGCCATTGCTAAACAATTATCATGAAGATGTATTTTCTCCCTGATGGATTCTAAGCTTTTCTTCCAGAGGCCAGATTTTATTGCAGATTTTATGTCAGGACAGGAGAGGCTCATTGTTTCTTCTTAATTGTTCCTACTAGAAGTCAAAAATATAAATACAGGAAGAAGGGCTGGAGTGATAACCCAGGCAAGAGAGAGAGCAGGTTTTGACATCCAACATTCTAATAAAAATTCATTTCATGCTCCTGCTGACCTCATTCTTCTTGATTCATAGCAGATAAACAGAACACCTATCTCTTTTTTCCTCTGCACCAGAAAGGCCAGGCTCATCTCTCACACAGCATCTTTGTTGCAGAATAACAGGCCACAGGACAGCAGGTAGTTTTGGAAGCTTCAAGATTTTGGCTCTTCTTTCTGCTCATGTCTGTCACCTTGTCCTCTTCATACACTGAAGAATTTCACCAAGCATAGGTGGTCTTAACCCCCAAAAGACCACAAATGAAAAAGCATGTTAATGCTGTCCCCAAAATATGATACTTCAGATCTGTCTGTTATGCTCTTTTTTTTCTACAGTAAAACAACACAGGAATACATTCCCAGCTTTCAGATAAAAGTGTCAAATTCATTAATTAGCTGTCAAATTAATACTAAGTCTAACCTTCCATTCCACTTCCTATTCTTCTTAATACTGTATTTGAAAATGGGGATCCTGACAATACAGCAGGGAAAAGATGTCTTTCCTCCAGTCATCACAGTAGCAGCGTCATAGAGATGTGAGACTTCCTAGAAGCATTGCACATGACATATTTGATTCATATAGCACACATTTCAAATAGATATTTTAAGGAACACATGTATTAAGGAATTAAAGGACAGCATGTGAAGGAATCAGGCTAGACTTCTCAGTTTCAGCATTTGGGAGATGTCCTACCAGCTGGCTGTCGTGAAGTAGCAAACTTGCCAAGACTACAGACTGCTGACATACTTTGGGATCAAAGGAGAAGATGAAGAACCTGGAAGACAGCAACAGTTTGAGAAATTAAATAATAAGATTGTCACAACAGACTTTCTTGATGTAATTCCAGTGGGCCCTTAAGTATGTAATAAAGAGTATCATTAGGTTTTTCACTAAAAGGCTAATCATGACAAAGATTTGTTTAATTTTGGGGAAAAAAAAAAAAGTTGGTTTCATGTCTGCAGAAGTCCCACAGTTTGAAGCTATTGCTACCAAGTTTAGTTCATTTATTGATTCTGTCATTCTGAATGCCTTCTTCCCCATGCATCTGACAGGTGCTTGAAATACTACTACAAAACAATGACATGCAAATTCAAGCCATCATCCTTTTCACAAACATATCATCTTCAGAAGCACCTATATTATTCCGGAGCCAAGGCAATTTCACTCATAGGAGTGAAAGGATGGGGTGATATCCTCCCCAAGGGAAACACCAAAGGCTGTAGCCTCTGCTGGGGTCACTCACATACTCTCCCATCCAAATGCAGTGCCCGTTGAGCTGATGTCTTCACAGTACAATACCTTTCACAGGTGGGATGTAGGGTCTTTCCCATCAGCCAGAGAAAATGGCTTTTATCTACTTACAGTACAAGCAACTCTATTATCCACCATCTCCCAGTAAAACACTGAGAGGGTTCATTCTTGCCAGTAATAAATAGAAGTAGATAAATACTCATGGTCAATAGTAAAATATTTAATGTTTCAATTCACTGTGGGGTTTTTTCCCACCCAATTTCTTGCAAAGGTTGGCAGTTCCCTGCTTCCACATCCTGGCAGTTGCCTGTGTGTGTAGGAAAACCCATGTCTTGACAAGAAAGAAGCACATGACCAGAAGTTTGAAGTGCTCAAGCCTGATGAGAGTTAGCCTTCAGCTTTAAATGACTACAGGTCTTCCTATATTGCTTCTTTTAAAAAATCACACAGTTGCAGCTGCCTCCATTCACTGTATTTTGCATCTCAACTCTGCCTTCTCTCTGCATCTACCCAGGGCTTAAGATAGGAACTGAGCATCTGCAAAGGGCAAACTATAAACACTGAGTGAGTTCCCAAGTAAACAACATAGCTCACTACAAGTTGTGCTTATGTGTGGTGACACTTCATCTAGGTGCCTGTAGTGTCTTCATTTCCTCCTTTATACTGAAGATCTGTTTTGATTTGTTGCCTCTCTCTTGTAAAACCAGTATTGTAAAAATCCTTGGAACTTGGTTCTGATGTGCATCTCTGACCATGTGCACAGCTGCATGGTCCCAAACCTCAGCTGGGTTCTCATGAACTGTCTCTGCTAATCCCGGAGTGCTGCTCTGTTACTCCTTCTGCCACTCAGTCAGCATAGTAGCTCCATGCTGTACTGAAGGGATGCTCAAGCTTGGGTCAGCCTGTCCTGTAGCTCTTCATGTGCACCTCCATCCTGCAGAGCACCACCTCTGCCTTCTCAGCACAGTAACAAATGGAGAGGCTTTTTGGTGGTTTTTGTTTGTTTGTTTGGTTTGTTGGTTCTCCTTTTTTTTCTTTTAATATTGTGTGAGAGGCAGAACCAACCTTGTGATGACTGACAATAGTCTGCAGAAGGTGCAGATTATATTGTATGTATGTATGTTTTGGTCTGCTTAAGTAGACTACCTTGGGCAGGAACAGTAGAGTAATATTTGCCATACAGTTGTGAGGCAAAAGGAGCCATGAAGTGAGAAGGAATGATTTTATAGAGCTATTCCATAAATCAAGCCCCAAAGACCCCACCATTCCTGACTGTCCCTGCCCAGCCTCCCAGGTCTGCCCCTACCCTACCAACCCTGTCCGCCCCAGGGGCTGGGATCCAGGTCCGCACAGGCCTGCCCTTCCTATCCTGTACCCATCCCTGGGGATGCTGGGGCTAGACTTCCCCCCCCCTCCCTTGGGCCACCAGGTGCCCAGGCAGCAGCAGATCTGCTGCTTTGCCTGGAGCTGTGGGAGCTGTGGGGCAGGGTGCTAGGAAGAATTCCTGGGTTAAAAGCTGAGAATTCCAGAAACTGGCTGTCAGGAAAAATGAAGATATTCGTAAGAAACTATGCATATGGCTACTAATTCTGTATTACATTTCATTTCACCTTCACAGAATTATCCCTTCCCCCTCTGAGACTGGCAGGGACTTGGTTAGTGTTAGACAGGGGAGCTCACATCAATGCAACAGCCAGAATATTCTCAGCTGCAGTATGCTGACCTGCAGCATCATAGATGAAATTGATTATTTTTGCTGTCAGCTCCCTCCTGCTCTATTAAAATTCAATTTTATGGTGCAATGTTCCCTATGGATGTGTTTTGTCATTTGTTTCCAATACATGCTGAAAGCATGTATGTGCTTCTAGCAAATGCTGAAACCTGAAAGAAATAGCTTGTAAATCAGCAGCAGCAGGCTGCAGTATGATAAACTCCTTGCTTTTTTGTTACCATATAATATGTGACCATTTGTAACAGTTTTAAAGCTCAGCTATATGCTGTCTATTAAATACCATTCTGTGTGCCAAGCCTTTTAGTTCCACTGTATTAAAGCGTGAGCAAGCCTTTTTTCTTTATTTTTTAGGAATGCTAAAAGCATCAACCCTGAATGAAGCCCAAGGTGACCAAGGTCGTGATCTTGCAATTTCCCAAGTGCAGCCAGGTCCCATTACTGCCAAGATGAGCAGTTAAAGTGCTGTGAAATCTCCCAAGTGGTGGCACTTTTGAGAACATGGGCTGAAACAGTCTTAAACTGTGCAGCAATTTAAGGGAAGTCTGCCTCGTTGAGCTGTAGGAACCATCAGTGCTATTTTAACTGTTACCTCAGTATATGAAGGGAAATAACACAGGCATGGCATTAGCGCACAGGGAGTTTTTTTTCCAGAAAAAAATCATGAAAAAGGACTAAATCATCCACCTGTTCCTGGAATTATCACATTTCCCATGTTTTGTGATGTTTCTGATTAGGCATTGGTTTTGGTTTTCATCTGCAAGCTGAGAAAGGCAGACTTGGAATAGTGCATCTGTAGATTTCCATCCTCCCCTAACCCAGATCTTTGCATAGCAGATAAGAGCTGCATAAACAAGGCTCTCAGCTCTAATGTGACAGCTCAGTTCTGCATTTATTCTAAAAACAGTGCCACTGGTTCATTTCCTGCAGCTCCTAGACTTGATTATATTGGCTATACGCCTCCTATACATTTTGATATCTTTAGCAATTCCCAAGCACATCATATAAACATACAACTGTCTGAGCCCCAGTTTTCTTTTTAAAAATAATTAATATTTCATTATGTAGCATGATGTTTAACATCCTGTGCTAAGTATTAGTGATGCATGTTTGAGTTCGCAGTTCAGATTTACTCAGGAGGAGTGGGGAAGAAGGCAGCTTTCCCTCTTAGTACCCCTGTCCATGCTGTGTACACTCTAGGTTACAACTGAGGGAGCAGACATCAGATAATAGTTCAGTTGGGATTTTTCCAACACTTTTACCTCAATCTAGGAGCATTGTTGATACTGTGTGGTATCTAAAACTGCCTGGCATGATATACAGTGGTATTTGAGAAATAGTAAATGGTGGTATAAGTAGACACTGTCTGACATTCCTCTCTTCACAACAATGTAAATCAAGATGACCACGACTGAAATTCAGAAGCAAATTCATAACTATAAAACAAAAATTCATGGCTATAAAATTGGTGCAGGAGCACTGCCAGGCTCTCTGATGTGATCCTCAGAAACAAACTGCCCAACGTAGCCACTGCAGCTATTCCTCTTCATTGGCTGCGCTGAGGACTCTGTGCTCAGTAGTGAGGCAAATCACCTCACCTGCTGCTCTCTTGTCCTAACAGCTCTGACGTGCTGTGGCATGTTACATACACAGTCACACAGTTGAGTGTCTGCTGTCCCCAGCCAGCCGGGCTGACAGATGCTGCCACCTCTGACTGAGTAAGGACACCAGGTGTCCCCTCATGAATCCTCTCCTGAAGTGCCATGGGTTTCAGCCCAAAACACACTGAAGATTCACGCTGCCTTGGAAGAGGGAGCTGGAGCCTGCAGTGGTTCTGAATCTGTCCCACAGTAAGGTCTGCCTTTCAGGGTAGCCACCTTCTCTCAAGAGGGCAAGGCAAACTGTTGTGAGTAAAACAGGTTGTATTCACATTCACACAGCTGTCAGAGCTCTGAAATGTTACCACAGAGGCAGTGACTGCAGCTACAGGAGGCACTGTATCAACCAAATTCACTATCTTTGATATCTAGTACGAATGCTGCATATTTAATGTTCTCTTAATGCACTTGCTTTGAGAGTATTTTCAGATGGATTGTATTTTTTATAGGCAAATTCCATGAGGGGTTTGGGCAGAGTGATGCTCAGTAAACTATCCCCGTTTTCCCTCCACTGTGTCTTTTCCTAAGGAGGAATTATTTGTGTTGTCCTTATAAAAAGTGGTTCTAGTTTGACTTTAGGTGTTAGGTATTGCTGCAGATTATCTTAAGTTTCACTGAATCTTTCTGTATTTTGTGTGTGTTTGTGAACAATTATCTGTAGGAATATCGTGATTTAAGAACTTAGCCTTTATGTTACCATGGGTTGCTTGAAATCTGACTCTGTGTTGCTTGAAGTCCCTGTTCTCTGTAACATGTTAGCTTTAGTCCTTACCCTCTAGACCATAACCAAAACACCTAGGGTCTATTGTATATAGGATGAGTTATTTGACAACCTGGCAAGGTAGAAATCTAACCAGCCAACTTGGCAACAAAATTTACTTTTAAGGTGTCCTGAACTGAACTGCCTTCATTATAATACTACAAAGCATACCCACATTTGAAAAGACTCTGCCCAGGTGAAGACCCTTCCTTCTTGCAAGGGTAGTAACAGAAGATAATGACACTGCTAATATCAGAATGGTATGTAAATCACTAACCAATCATCGTAACTTGTAGTTTTCAGGTATAAATGTAACAATGAAATCAGCATGGGGTGTGCTTGATTTGGGGAAATTCCACCTAGCACTCAGCCCTGCAATAAAGAAGTGCCTGCTTCTTAATGCTGCACTGGTATTAAGGAGTTTTATTCTCCTGACTTCTGGTGACAGTATCACCCTCTGCCAAGCACAGCGAAAGAGCTGTTTGTCACCAGTTTAAATATTTTTCTTGAAGCTGTTAAACTGCATTTTGGGGCATCACAGCCTATCTCAACCAAAGAAAGGAAACCCAGGAATGGAGCCATGATCCTGTCTCAGCTACAGCCATATACAGTAGAGACACGTCTTTTCAAAAAGAAAAATGGGCATACCAACACAGTTGCTTCTCCACAGCTTTTTTTCATACTGGATAGAAAAAGTCACTTGTGAATCTCTCCCTGTAATGGAAAGCAGCTCACTAGTTTCACCTGAATTTTTCCTCTGGTTGTTTCCTGCTATGAGAGAAGATTTGGTGAGTAAGAGATTCTAAAGATGCTGAGGGCCTACAGCATGGGATTAAAATGAAATTACTGAAGCAAGTTTCACTGTCGCCTTCCAATAGCCAGAAATGGGAGACATTGGTGGCAGTGCAGTATATGAGTTGTGCTGTCATAGCTTAGAGAGTGAGCTTCAACCAGGCAGATGCTAGGACAACGAAAAGATGCTGGTACTCCCAGAGAAGAAAACCCTACACAGCCTGTAAAGGGTATGTTTCTGAGTCAAGTGAGTACTTAGACACTCAGGAACATGGTAACTGTTCATGCTGTAGTTTGCTCTGCAGAAACATGTAACAGAAATGCTTCCAAAACCCAGCAGCAGGAACAGACTGGAGGGGAGGCCACCTGTGGGGTTCAGTAACCCAAACTCATGGGCTTTTAGCTGCCAAAACTGGTCCAAACTGTGTGAGAACCCGGTGCTCTCCATCTGGGAATGAATGCAGAAAGAAAAGCATGAACCTGGATAAACCTAAGCAGAATGACATGTTTCATACGTTTGTTTTGGTATACACAGTTAGATGGATGGATGCCATTTCCAATACAGAAAACACTAGACTCAGACAGTAATGTAGTTAGAAAATGCAGTGTAGATTGTGAATAATGAAGATAATTACTCATAGTTCCTCTGTAAACATACTCAGGGAACAGGAACACAATGTGGCGCTCCCAGGTATTTTAGCCCGTAGGTACATTTTTATGGGTGTCTATGCAAGGGAAAACTTCAGAGAGGACTCAGTATGGTGGCAAATCCATCTCATGGTGTATTAATTAGATTAATGAAAACTATGTATGAAAAGTGAAGGACAAACACAGCTCTGTAAAGATACTCATTCTTTTAGGGTTAGCTAGGGTATTTTTGACTTAGCACCTATTTTTGCACTGAGACATTCCAATATGTTCATGTTAAGTTTTGCCCTGCCAGGAGAGCAAATACTTAGCTTTAATTGCAATATTTAGTTGCAATGGAAAATATTGTTTACTCACAGTTTTAATCAGTTTAAATGGCAACAACATAATACAAAACTGCTACTAAGACGTGTATGTTAAATGTTTTTAATTTCACTGCTACATTTCACAGTTTAATGGAGACAGGAGCTAAAATAGCTGCACAGTCATCCCTAGTACTGAACTACACATGTGGGGGTGTGTTCTAGAAATACATCTCCTCTCTTCCAAAGGTGTTTTTTTTTCCCCCTAGTAGTTTGTTAGAAAAGGTAAAATTCGTGCTGCAGAATGGAGAATCATAAGACTTTCTGCTGTTGACTCCACAGCTCAGCAGTGTTTTGGCTTGCCTGAAAATTAAAAGGTATCCAGAACTTGTTACCTTTTTCACAGCTAATTAATGTAAGCCAAAACAAATGAAAGAAAATCTGTGTATCCGTAGTATTGGTGACCTGTGTCTTCCTTTTGTGAGACTGGAATCTAAAATTATTTTCTAGTGCATGCAGTACTTAGCCAATATTATAGACCTGCCTTGTAAGTAGCCTGTATAAAACCTCTGGTCAATATGTGAAACAGTTCACATACCAGTCATGGACCATTGGGTGCAACAATGAAGAAGAACATTTCCTGCCATTGATGAACAATAATTCCTGGCATTTACAAGGCATCTTTAACCTGACAGCCTTAAATTGCTCTGCAGCAATACTAAATTCTCAGAGTACCTCTCTGAATTAAGTGATAAAGTACATAACTTACAAGTGAGCAAAGAAAACAGAAGGGTAAGATAATTTCTGGTCAGATAGTGAATTTTTGGCAAAGTCCAGAAAAACATGTAACCTTACAGCCTCCTAGATTTGTTGAAAAGGAGATGTCAACTTTGTTACTGAAGCAGATTAGGTTTGTATCTCCTGTTCATTCACTCTGTACTGATGTAAACCTGTCTGTAATGCCAGCGCAAATATATATTCCTGTAGTTTTGTTACTGGTGGTAGAAGGGACACTTGGTTCTAAACAAGGATATGATTGGCTGCATGTGAATCACAGAATCACAGAATGGTTTGGGTTCGAAGGAACCTTAAAGGTCATCCAGTTCCAATCCCCCTGCTGCCATGGGCAGGGACACCTTTAATTAGACCAAGTTGCTCTAAGCCCAATCCAATCTGGCCTTGAACACTGCCAGGATGGGGCAGCCACAGCTTCTCTGGCCATCCTGTGCCAGCACCTCACCATCGTCCCAGTAAAGAACTTCTTCTTGATGTCTGATCTAAATCTACCCTCTTTCACCTTAAAGCCATTTCCTCTTGTCCTGTCACTACATGTCCCTTAAAAAGTCCCTCTCCAGCTTTCTTTAAACCCCCTTTAGGCACCGGAAGCTGCTCTAAGATCTCCCTGGAGATCTTCTCTTCTCCAGGCTGAACAAACCCAGCTCTCTCAGCCTGTCTTCGTAGCACAGATGCTACAGCCCTCTGAGCATCTTCATGGCCTCCTCTGAACTCGTTCCAACAGCTCCATGGTCCTATGGTGTTGGAGCTGAATGGTCTGAATGCAATGGTCCAGCTGGTGTCTATACCCACAGACAGTCTTAAGTTTAATTGCAAAAATTCTCTGTACAGATGTCTCTCAGAACAAAATTGGTTTCAAAGTGTGTAGACCTGTGAAGAACCAGCTATGAATACCTAAACAGCTGTCATTTACAACACAGTTCAGAGCCATGGGATGAAGCATAGCTTCTTCAGACTTGCAAGGCAAAATAGTCTGCACAGTAAAAAATACTATAGAGATTATTGGCTACTTTATCACCCTTACTTTTATCATAAATATGAGTGAAGAACTGCTGTGTTTGATGGAATTTCTATTTCTCGGGTGTGCAGGGGGCTGGAAACTCTTCTTCAGGCAAATCAGATTGCAAATTACATCTAAACACTGGTACATTTAGTACTACACACAGTCAAAAAAAGATCCTCTCCTATACACTCTGTGTCTTGTTCTGCTCATTTAGCATGTCACCACCTTTAACCATGCTTTGATTCTGTTTTCAGACCTGTTTCACACCGTCAGTTTCTAAATCCTATGTCATTCTTCTTCCTGACAAATGTAAATATATTTATACAGCAAAAAGATGTTTATGGCTTAACATTTTAATAATGCTGTAGTCAGTTTTTACTAGTGCTTCTCTGTTACACTTTGTATGAGATATGAAAGAGTAACAAAGAGAATATTACTGTGGGGTTTTAGGCTTATGAGCTTAATGTATTATGATACAACAAAATGTATTACCTGAAGTTCCTTTTCTTGTAAATGCAAACAAAAGCACCATAGACATGGAAATAAAAACCAGTGGCCAAACCAGCAGTAACATTCGGTAATTGCAAAAATACTTTTTCTTTTTTTTTTTTTTTTTTTTTAACAAAAATGTAATTTATACAAAAAAGTTTGAAATGAGGAGCGTTAGGGTCCCTAATCTTGGCTGTATGTGTATTACACAGCTTGTAAGAACAGAAATGACGAACTAAACAGAACCAAACCATTTTTCCCGCAGGCTGTGCTTTGACCCGCGAACCCGCAGCAGATAGCTTGGCCATCTGGATGGCATGTATGACAGGATGCAAGGAATCACCCCTTCAGATGGGTACAAACGGTTGGGAGGAACCCCTTTCAGACGCTGGGGCGAAGGGCGGGAGAGTCAAACATTCTTGAAGCTGAGAGGGAAAGCCTCGTAAGCTCTTGATTTCTTCCTGTGCTCTCTTTACTACCCAGTAGGCATCAAGGTAACTTCACAAGAAAACTGGACAGGAATTACTTAGTCTGGAACCAAACCAGCATTAAACGTGCAGGGGAGCTCTTGTTTTCACTCTCATTCCAAATTATAATAAACTTAATTAAGCTGAAGTACCTCACAAAACCTAAATTAGTAAGTATCCATTTCAAGAGATACTGGTATCTCCAAAAAGTGACAGGCTCCTCCAAACAACAAAGTAGCTACCAAACATTTGCTTTCCCTTAGGTCGGCAGAGGCCCGCCTCAGAGCCGCCCAGGGAAGCTGCCGCTCCAGCCCTAAGGGGTCGGGGCTGGGTAAGGCCGGCCTGAAGGAAAACATGCGGGCAGGCAGGCAGCGAAGTTCTCCCGCCTGTGATCCGCCAGTTGCAACCGTCCGCTTTGAGATCCGCCGCTGTCTCCGCCGCAGGGCTCCGAGGCCCGTTATCGCCGCCGCCCGCGGCTCCGGTAGGGGCGGTGCCGGAGAGCCGCCGTGGGAGCACCGCCCCTACCGGAGCCGCTGCCGCCGGCGGCGCAGACCGGCAGCCTCTGGCGGCGGAGCCGGGCCCGCACCCCCCGCTGCCGCGCGCCCCTCAGCGAGGCACGAGCCGCCCTACGGCCACGCACCCTCCTCCCGCCGGAGCGGGAAGGGGGGGTGAGAAAGTAAGCGCAGCGGGCGCGCGCACATTACCCGGCATGCAGCGGGCGCTGCGCTCGCACCAAGATGGCGGCGCCGCTAGAGGAGTACGAGAAAGAAGCGGGTTGTGTCCCCATCCTGCACCCGGAGGTGAGGGCAGCGCGCCGGGAGGCGGTGACGGGCAGGTTCGGGGCGCGGCCGGGACGGCGCCCACCCGCGGGAAGGGTGGCGGTGCGAGGCGAGCGGGCGGGGTGCGTGGAAGGCGGGAGGTGCGCCGCCGCCTCCTCCCGCTGGCGGCCTGGGTGTGCTCGGCGGCCGCCGGGAGGGCAGGGCAGGGCAGGGCCGGGCCGGGCCGGGCCGCGGCAGGGAGGTGGCTAGGTGGGAGGAGGATGCGGGTATTGCTGGAGGGGAACAGGGCTGCAGGCCCTCCTGTGGTGCCCTCCCTGGCGGTGGTGGTCTCGCCCGGTACCGTGCAGGGGACTGAGGCGGGCGGTGGGGGCCCGGTTACCTCCCGGCCCGCGGCTACCCTGCGGGCAGAGCAGCCCCAGATGGTGCCGCAGCCCCGGCGTCCCCGACCAGCAGCGCTCGGTGCCCGGCCAGGCTCGGCGGTCGACCCAGCCGCCCCGGGGGGGTGCTGTGGCCCGTTAGCCCGGGGGACGCGTTTCGGAGGAGGAGGAATAAATGTTTCTTCCTGTGTTTTGCTGACAGCGGCCTGGTGGTCTGGCCTGGTCCCATCCAGCCCAGCGCTCCCCGGGTGGCGTGGGGTTTATTTTGAAAGAAAAAGGTCTGTCGTTTCCAACGTGTTGGACAGGCAGTGGGAGGAATGCTTATAGGTGATGTGTGGAGGTAGCTTCGTGACACATTTTTGCCCTTCTTTTGTGCCACCTACCTCTTGTCAACAGCGCGAGCATTCTTCAGGACCGGTGCGATTGTTTTGAAATGTATTTTAAACAGTTTAGAAAATTTCTTACGTGTGGGCTTGTCACCTGATACATTAAGGATTGTAAGAATTGATTTTTCAGCCTACGAGAAAGATTAGTGCGTATGCCAGGCTCTAGTTTTTGTGAAGCAGATGGTATTCCTGTTCCTTAAACAACATCTCAAAGACACTTTTAGTTTTCTTGATGACTGAAGACGCTTTATAGGCCTTTATGCAGTTGTGTATCCTACCCACTCCTCTCTACTTCTCCAAACTGTGCTTGCTTATGACTTTAAAATAGACCTGTCTGTTCAGAAGTTTAACTAGCAAAGCCATGTAAATAAGTGTCTTGATATATATATTTTGCAGTTTTATTTTTTTTAAAGTGATATGCAAAGGCTCTTGTTACATGTTCCTTCAGACTAACTGGAGAAGTACTCTCTCATTTGCAGTGTCTGATGTTTTTCAGAAGTTACAGAAGTTTTCAGTAATGATCCAGATTGTTGGATGTTGACACTTTGAAAGAAAATGTTGTTAACTTGTGGAAACTTAGATGGGTAGTCTGAAACTATAAAATAGATAAGAATCATTTACAGGCTGTTAGAAAACAATTATGTTCCCAAGATCAAAGACAGTATTTGTTAAATTAACTTTGAATGATTACTATGTGGAGAACAAACATGTCTCAGTTTAAATTGGGGGTTTTCACTAGTTGAGCAGTCTGGTAGAATTTTATACTGTTGCTTTGGTGTCTAGGGCTGAGTGTGTGTACAAAAGATATGGAAGGAAGTTAGTAGATACTGTGTTCTGTAACACCAGTGTGAACCTTTTAATATACAATAAATATCACTTGTCTGTCTTGTCTTGAAGGGGTTTTACTTGACTTTTTGGTGGAAATGATGAGTGTTATTTGACTATGTCTTATTTACAGGGTAATACTTAAATGGATTTGAGTGGGTGTCCCCAAGTCCTTAAAAATCCCTTTGTGGAGATAAGCTTTAAAAGAGAAGGATGTTTTTAATGTTGGTGGTGAGACCGGCTGTTAAAAGAGCATTTCTGGA